CTGCTTTAATTGGGACAAATCATAGCTGGCAGCTAAGCTCAGAGTTAATCACGTCAGCACTTAGGAGTTCCAGTTAGGGCTTGATGAGTTGCGCTGCTCTGTTGTCTGTGTGGGGGTATTATTTTGTTCGTGTGGATTATTTTTATTCTTTGAAATATTTCGAGTTCTCTCTCTTTTAACTTAGATGAAGGAAAATTCAGAAAATTAATGCTTGGAGCAGTCCTGTGTAACACAGTCAATCTTAGACTCCAGGCTGTTTTCATTAGCAGAATTGAGATGTTAAATAGCTTTTTTATTATATTCAGCCCACTAGAAAGTTTAGGAAATCTAACTTGTTTAGAAAACCTTAACTTGTGAATTTTTTTTTCTACATGAACCATAGGTACCTAAAACAAAGACCTTTAATTATTATTCTAGGTTATATGTGTGTATGTATTTTGAGACGGGTGTCACTATATAGTTCAGGCTGGCCTCAAAACCCCTGATGATCCCCGTCTCAGCCTCCTGAGTACTAGGATTACAGGTGTGCACTACCACACCTCACTACAGTTATATTTTTAGGGAAATTGGTCTCTAAATCCTTAGATTTGATGGGATTTTAACTAAAATGTTGTTTTATGCCTGAGGTCTTGTGTGTCTCCTTTTCCTAGTTGCCTTATCCAAAGGTTGTTCTTCCCCTCACTACAAATGAACTATATATTTCTCACTTGCCGTATTGTTTGTTTGTTTGTTTTATTATTTTTTTGGTACTGAGGATCAAACTCAGGTCCTTGAACTTGCAAGGCAGGTGGCAGCACCACTGAGCTAAATCCCCTGCCCACAGTTAACCTATTTCTTACTGTACCCATGGTCCCATGCAATAAAAATTTCTGGGGCCTCAAAAGAAGAAAAACTTCATAGTTCTAGAGAGAATCCTATGACAGAAAGCCAATACAGAGGTAAGATCAGAAATATTGGAGGAGGAATGACTATTCCATATGGGCAGCAAATTCCAGCCTCCTCTGTTAGAATTCTAAGTAAGAATTAGTGTTAGAAGAATGACACGGTTACTATGGGGACATGTATAAACACATTTCAGATAAAAGGCAGTGTGATTTTGTTTGGCAGAAATCTGTTATTTGAATGGCTTGAAGATGGGGATTGGCCAATTAGGTTATGTGGTGTGGCTATTGTCCATAAATTGATTGGACTAAATCTTTATTACCAAACAGTCAGAGGCAACCAGAAGTCATACAGAATGAAGTACAGAGAAACAAAAGGATGGAAAACAAAAGAATAAGGAAATAAATGTCACATCCAGTTAGGGTCTCAGGTGTGGAAAGAAGGAAGAAGCAATGTTTGAAGACACCGTAGCTGGGAATTTTTCAAAATTGAAGAGAAGTCTGTTCTGTCAGTGTAGTTATGTTGTATAATCTATATCTTGTCAATCGTTCCTGTTTAGGTTTTTGTTTTGTTTTGTTTTTGAGTCAGGAATTTGCTATGTTGCCTAGGTTGGCTTTGAACTCAAGGCATCGCTCCTGCTTCCTTCAAGTTGGTTGTCTTTTTTATTTCATTAAATTAAAATTTTAACTGATACATAATTGTACACAGTGTGCAGTATGTTGAAATATATGTGTACAGCTGTGATCAAATTTGAGCAATTAGCATACTTTTCACCTCAAACATTTGTGGTAAAACATTCAAAATCTTTTCTTCTATCTCTTTTGAAGCATATAACATATTGATTAATTTCTTCAAACCTATTCTCCAAGTATACTGATTCTACATACATAAATCTCTATGCCAGGCGTGGTGGCACACACCTGTAATCCCAGCACTTGGGAGGCTGAGGCAGGAGGATTGTTGTGACTTTTCACCTCAAACATTTGTGGTAAAACATTCAAAATCTTTTCTTCTATCTCTTTTGAAGCATATAACATATTGATTAATTTCTTCAAACCTATTCTCCAAGTATACTGATTCTACATACATAAATCTCTATGCCAGGCGTGGTGGCACACACCTGTAATCCCAGCACTTGGGAGGCTGAGGCAGGAGGATTGTTGTGAGTTCTCAAGGCAGGCGCTGGGCACCATTGAGCTAAATCCCCCATCCTACCTGATCTTAATTGCACTGATTATACTTTTCATTTCTGGGACTTCTGTTTCAGATGGACTTGTCTTTTATTGTTTTGTTTTTTCGTAGTGTTTTCTTTAATGCTTTATTTTAATACCTTTAGTCATTTAAATATTCATTTTCCAATATCTTTAGTTTTTTTTGATACCAGGGATTGAACTCCAGACCTTGTGATTGCGAGGCAGACCGCACCTATGAGCTAAATCCCTGGCCTTTGAGTGTCTAATTTGACTTTATTTTAGATTGGCTTTACTTTTGTACTCAAGGTTAGTTGATGGTTTGGTTTTGGTTTACGGCAGGGTCTCACCTACATAGTTTAGGCTATCTTTGAACTCACTAGCCCAGGCTGGTCTCAGATTTACAATAATCCTCCTGCCTTAGCCTCCTGAGTGCTGGGATCACAGGCCTGTGCCACCTCGCCTGGTTTCAAAGTTGATTGATTCTTTTCATTGGTACATGTGTGTTGTAGCACATTTACGTTCTTCCAGGAGTTGGTACAAATAAGTCGGTTGGTTGATCAATCGATCAACTGACTGATTTAGAGACAGGGTCTCCCTGTGTAGTTCAGGCTGGCCTTGACCTCAGTAGGTAGCCTAGGCTGGCCTGGAACTCATGGCAGTCCTTTGGCCTCAACCTCTCAAAGGCTGGGAAGACAGGCGAGCTGCACCATGCTTGGCTAGGTTGATTGATTCCCGATGTGCTCTGTAATTTTGGATTGAGGCTTGTTTGGCAGCCTCTATGGGAAATCTTTGCTGGCAAAATCAAATACTATATGGTGTATCTCTGGAAGGACAACAAAGGCTTCGCACAGGCAGGGTCCTGCTAATTAATCATGAACTGAGGAGCATTTTCTTTTTCTTTCTTCTGTTTTTTTTTTTTTTTTGTCTCCTCTTTCCCTCTTCTTTGGTCCTATCATCTGACCTTGCCAAGACAGAGAAATGTGTTCACCCTTTTCTTTTCTCTTTTGTTTCTTTGTTGTCTTCCTGTACCGTAAAAAAAGGCTTTATGCACATTGTCACCATCCTTGGACCTTTTTTTTCTCTTCTTTTGACTAGGTTTATTGAGATATAAAATTCAGCATTTTCCCCAGTGTTAGGGGCTTGTGCGTGCTAGGTGAACATGCTCTGATTGAGCTGTACACTCCACTAAGGATGTCAGCAAACTTTTTTAAATGCTGGAGATTGAACTCAGACTTGTGTACGCTAGACAGCAATTTTAAATGTAGAATTTAATGAGTAGTACCACAGTCATGATAATAGAGCATTTTTACCATCCCTAAAAGTTCTCCTATGCTCTTTTGCTGTTAGCCTGCTTTCCCCAATATCTGGTGGTTACTGGTCCCTTCCTTTCCCTTCTCATTCCTTTCCTTTCTGTTTGTTTTGGGGGTACTGGGATTGAACCCATATAGACAAGTATAAACCAAGTATAAGTAAAAACAATTTATTTCTTTCCAGTCTTTATGGCTTTTTCTTGCCAATATGCACTATCTAGAACTTCTAGCACAAGTTCGAGTTCAAATGGTGACTCATCCTTGCTTTTTGGGAAACTTCCCATGTGAGACTATCTTGTGTTCACATATGTTGGAAGTAAAGTGTATTACTGTCTCTGTGGAACTAGGTTTTGTGATTTGCATTAAACAAAGTGGTAGTTCAGCCAGGTGTGGTGGCACACGCCTGTAATCCCAGCACTTGGGAGGCTGAGTCAGGAGGATCGCTGAGTTCAAGACCAGCCTGGGCTATATAGTGAGTTCCAGGTCAGTCTCAACTACACAGTGAGACCCTGTCTCAAAAAACCAAGAAAACAAAAAAATGTGGTAGTTCAAGAATGAGCTTGTCAGGCGGGGATGATTTACTGAATGGTGTTGCACCTGCCTTGTAAGCACAAGGTCCTGAGTTCAAGTCCCAGTACAAAAAAAAAAAAAGAATGAGCTTGTCATTTCTCACTTCATTTATTGCTATGTTACAGTTAGACCGGAGGTATGAAATGGACATGCTAACATACATACAAAGAGAGAGTGGAAGATGTCTTTGAAAAAAATAAAGATAGGGGGCCGGGGATTTAGCTCAGTGGTTCTGCTGCCTGCCTCTTAAGCACAAGGACCAGAGTGCGATCCCCAGTACCCCCCAGAAAAAAAAAATTAAAGAAAGATAGGGCTTGGAGTGTGTAGATCAGTAATAAAGGGCTTGCTTGAGACCCTATGTTCAAGCTGCAGTGCTGCAAAAAATTACTTCGCCAAGTTCAGTCAGTGGTGTGGTGCACATGTGTGACCCCAGCTGCTTAGGAAGCTGAAGCAGGAGACAGAATTCCAGGGCCAGCCCAGGCAACTTGGCAAGATCCTGTCTAAAAAAATAAAGTAAATATAGCCAGGCGTGGTGGCACATGCCTGTAATCCCAGCACTCTGGAGGTAGAGGCAGGAGGATCCCTATGAATTTGAGACCAGCCTGGACTACATAGTGAGTTCCAGATCAGTCTCACCTACACAGCGAGACCCTGTCTCAAAAAACCAAAACAATAAACAAACAAATAAATAAATGTAAATATAAACCATTAAGCTACAAAAAATTATGAGCTATATCCTGACTCTTTCTGATGAGCTAGACAGTAATCTCTACTGGACAAAGGACACCAAAAAGCAGGGTGAGGAGCCTCTGTCCCAGTGGAATAGGGTACCCCAGCCTCTAGGCATGTTGATTTGACCACCACCCCAGAGGCTTGTCACATCTCCTCTTATAAGAGTTTTTATAAAGCTTAATTTCCAGTCATCACTGACTATGGGTGGCGCTGAAAGTTCCTGGAGGAGGCAGGTGGTTCTAAGCAGAGGTGAAAACCAAAAGCATGTATTGTCACACAAAATGGTTTTGTGAGAATGTTTTATTGTTAATGTACTGCTTTAACTTTATATCCTTCAGATATTTGGATTTGAGCTGCACTTTGGAATTCATCTGTACCTAAAATGCCAGTGGCCATTGGAGGACCAGTTGGATACACCCCCCCAGATGGAGGCTGGGGGTGGGCAGTGGTAGTTGGAGCTTTCATTTCTATTGGCTTCTCTTATGCATTTCCCAAATCCATTACTGTCTTCTTTAAAGAAATTGAAGGCATATTCAATGCTACCACCAGTGAAGTGTCATGGATATCCTCCATCATGTTGGCTGTCATGTATGGTGGAGGTAAGTAGCCACTAAGGCCTGTTCTAATCTTCATGAATGGCCAGAGTCTCTGTCTATAATAATGCTGTTGTTTTTCAGTGTCTTACTCAGCTAGATGTTTTGATGTTATTTCGTGTGTGTGTGTGTGTGTGTGTGTGTGTGTGTGTGTGTGTGTGGTTTTGTTTTTGTTTTTTGTTGTTTTTTTGTGTGTGTTTTTTTGAGACAGGGTCTCACTATGTAGTTGAGACTGACCTGGAACTCACTATGTAGCCCAGGCTGGGTCTCAAACTCACAGTGATCCTCCTGCCTCAGCCTCCCGAGTGCTAGGGTTACAAGCGTGCACCACCACGCCCGGCTGATGTTATTTCTTGAAGTACATATTGTATTTAGGGTTATGTTTTTTCATTCCTGATAACAATGACACTCTTGCTCTATTTTCTATTTCTTCCACTATGATTTTCTGAAGCAAAAATGAGAAATTGTAAAAGCCTCTGGTTTGCTCCAACTTAAGTGTCATTGAACTTTCAAAGCTCTCATAAAAACAGTGTGTTCAGGGCCGGGGATGTAGAGGTTCTGCTGCCTGCCTCGCAAGCGCAAGACCCAGGTTTGATCCCCTGTACCCCCCCAGAAAAATATGTCCAGGCCAGACATGGTGGTGCACACTTACAATACCAGCATTCAGGAGGCTGAGGTAGGAGAATTGCCTCTATTTCAAGGCCAGCCTGGACTACATAAGAGAGTTCAGGGTAGAAGAACCCAAGTTTAATCCCCAGTACAGAGAGAGTGAGTGTTAGTTCTGGGCCAGCCTAAACTACAAAGTGAGACCTGTCTCAAAACAACAAAAAGATGTGTCCACAACTGGTTTCTGGTTTTTCTTGTTTTTTCACTAGACTCTTGAAATATAATCATAAATACAGGTTTTTCAAAATTGATGTTTTGAAGAATTACAATATATCAGACTAACTTCAATAGCATAATTCAGTCTCAGGTAAAATCTTCTAATGGTTTTAGACATTAAAGATGAATAAACTTTTCCTTGTTCTTTGTGCTATTGTGTGTCCTAGAAGCATTTCAGCTACACTTTAAACTTAAAATTTTGTTATTTCTTCCCCGTCTGTTTTCTTTGGCATGCTGTGAAGGATATTATGTAGAGGGCAAAATTGCTCACGTAACATCATTTAAAATGCTGGTTGCTTCAGCTTGAGACATCAGACCACAATTAAACATGTACCTGTTAACCCTACCATAATACTTAAAAAGGTACTTATGTAGTTGGCAGGAATTCCAAAGCCAGGAGCTTTTGTTTGTTGACTGCAGTTGACAGGGTCTTGTGTTGTCTTCTTTACTTTAGACAAGTTTTTGCTTCCATTAACTTTGTTTTTGGTGGCGATTTAGTGCCTCAGATTATACTCACATACACCTCCCTAAATATACAATGATTCTGCATTTCAACTGTAAATAACTTAGCCCTAAACGGCTAAGCCGGAAGCAGATTCAACCAATATTTATTGAGCCCCAAGAGTATATCCAGCACTACATGTGAGAGAGAATACTGACTCTGACCTTTTCTTTTGAGATAATAAATGTTCTTGGTGCAGTAATATACTTGAAATCCTAATTAATTTAAACATATAATTAAATTGCACAGAAGAAACAGGTAACATTGCTTTGGAGGAAGATAAATGAGGTGGTTAGAAACAGGAGTGGGAAGTACCTGTGTATCTTTTTGTGCTTTTACTTTTTCTTTGTTTTCTTTTGATACCGCGGATTGAATGGACTCAGGACCTTGTGCTTGCGAGGCAGGTGGTGGAACCACTGAGCTAAATCCCTAGCCTGCCTTGTACATTTTGAACTTAAGACTATTGTCTGTTAAATACATTTTTAAAGAAGCCAAGTGCTAACTTGTAGTAGTTTTTAAAAATAAATTCAGAGCAATTAAAAATGACCCCAAAAAAATGGGTTTGGAATATTATCTAGTTTCTGAGAGTCAGTGCTTTTACAGGCTTTGAATTCCAGTGTGCTAGGATGTCTAATCACATTTTTGATGATTATGCCTTGAAGAAACTGGAATAAATACTCCCCAGAGGTGCTCCAGGTGCCCCCTCACCTTAGGCTGACCACAAACCAAAGGTTCACATGTTGCATTTCTAAGCTGCCAGAGAGCTAGGGGGAGGCACTTGCATTTTGTATCCAAAGTAAGTGATGTCAGTCCTGCTCATTGCGTGTGACGCTTTCCTTTGAGCAAACAGCTCCTTCTTTGTCTTCACCATTTAGTAAAATAACTGGCACATTTCTGACTTTGTGTTGTAATAGTCCTAACTGCTCCTTTCTATTTTTAATGATAGCTAATTAGGGCCATCTTTCATTAAATAACTGAAAGACAAATTGCTTATCATGAGCCTTGTGGCAGAGCTTTTATAAAATGGGTTACTTTGTTACTGGCTTTTAAGTAATATGTCCCCTAAGAATTTTCATCGCTTTTACAGCTGTCATAGCCTTTTATTTATGCACTCAGGCTATGCTCTGAATAGCAGTATGTTCTGAGCTGTGAATGATTTTGGTTTTCTTTTTAGTGCTTTGGGTCAGTGATACATACTGATGGTTGTTAAAGTTCTGTAAATATATTTTGGGGAGAGAAAGTTACCTACATTGAGTTTCCTTTTATAAAAATTTGAAAGTATAAATTTATATATATTCGGTTCTATAATGTTCACCGGTAATATTCCTGGCTTGGAATTTCATTATGGATACTGTAAAATTTACATCATTAACTCACACCTCACAAAGTAAATAGTGTGGTGGTAATTGTCTTTATAATCCTGACTATATAAAATCTTAAGACTTAATTTATATGGAAATACTTTATAAATATTCTTTCAGTGTTCAGTTCTTTCACAAGCTGTAAATTCAAATTGTTTTCAAATCATCTGTTACCTAATCCATGTATTTAATGAAAGCGTGTTCTTTGTGGATGGCACCTTATTTTGATACATAAAGTGCATAAAATCTTTTCATGTTTCTTAAAATCCTTTCATTTGGCATTTTTATCTCACTGTTTGCTTGTTTGTTTGTTTGTTTGTTTTGAGACAGGGTCTCTCAAGGACCCAAGTTCGATCCCCTATACCAAAAAAAGATATTTCCAAATATCCTGCCTTAAAAGAGAAAGATTAACACGGGACTAGAGCTGCATATTTTACTAAAATTCTATCCAATATTTCTAGACATGCACAGTTAATACTGTTGGAGCAACTTTTATTTTCCAGTACACAAATAATTATAGAAAACAATATTCTTTTATTTGTCTTGGAGGACTTGTCATATATTGTCATTCATGCCTTATGTAGATGTGAGGGAATAAATTTCCTTTATACTACTAATTTTTTTTTTATCTTCTCCTAGGTCCTATCAGCAGTATCCTGGTGAATAAATATGGCAGTCGCCCAGTCATGATCGCTGGGGGCTGCTTATCAGGCTGTGGCTTGATTGCAGCTTCTTTCTGTAGGACGGTACAGGAACTTTACTTGTGTATTGGAGTCATTGGAGGTGAGTTGCCACTAGTTTTTTTTCCCCCAAGTATGGCTTTATTGCTTTGTTTTTCATCTGTATTTAGCTTTCAGATCTTTTTGAATCAGATTCTTTTTTTGTTGTTGTTGTTACCAGGGATCGAACTTGGGACCTTACACTTGCAAAGCAGACAGCAGAACCATTGAGCTAAATCCCCGTCCAGATTCAGAAAAGCTAAGGATGAATAGTACTAGAAAAGCAAACTTTTAAACAAGTTTCTGTTATAGGTGTTTTTTTGTTGTTGAATGAATTGAAAGAGCTGATCTCTTGTCCTAAAAATCAACTGTGGAGCTGGGGATTTAGCTCAGTGATTCTGCTGCCTGCCTTATAAGCACAAGGTCTCGAGTTCAATCCCTGGTGCAAAAAAAAAAAAAAAAATCAACTGTGGCGGTAGATACAGTATACAGCATCTTGTAGAAGGGTGTCAGGTAATGAACTGCTAAGGAGTATAATGAATAATGATTACTCATAATTTTATAATTCAAAGAATATCACTACTTTCTCGTGTGTCCTTCCATATTTTTATACACAGAATCATTTTTAGAATAAAAATCACACTATGTGTTTATGTTTTTTCTCCAGTTTTTATTTATTCAACAATGTATCATGAATATCTTTCCTTTTTTTTTTTTTTTTTTTTTTTTTTTTTTTTTTTTTTTTTTTAGCATTTTTGTTTGTTTGTTTTTTAAACAAAATCGCACTATATAATTCAAGCTGGTGTTGAACCACTATGTAGCCCAGGCTGAACTTGAAGCAATCCTCCTGCCTCAGCCTCCCGAGTGCTGGGATTATAGGCGTGCACCACCACACCCGGCAAATATCTTTCAGTGTTATTAAATATTCTGATATACAAATTTAATGTTATTTCATTGAATAGACATGTCCCTTTTCTATGTTTCATAAATATTTTTCTTAGCAGTATGTGTGCTTGTGTTTTTTTGTTTTGTTTGATTGTTTTTTTGGTACGAGGATCAAACTCAGGTCCTTGCACTTGCAAAGTAAGTAGGTGCTGGAACCACTGAGCTAAATCCCCGACCCCATGTGTGCCTGTTTTAAATACTAAGAAGCAGTCATGAGGATTCACGTGCCAATGAGTGGTGACGTTGAGGTTGGAGCCCATATGGACTGTTTTAGAATGCACACTTCAATGACGATTTCTGTGTCCTTTCTATTGCTTACACCTATTTTACTTTCTTCATCTAGCTCATTAATATCATATGTTTCTGGCATTTATTACAGCGTGTAGTTTGTTTTTCCCTCCCTCTTAGGTCTTGGGCTTGCCTTCAACTTGAATCCGGCTCTGACCATGATTGGCAAGTACTTCTACAAGAAGCGACCGTTGGCCAATGGACTGGCCATGGCAGGCAGCCCTGTGTTCCTCTCTACCCTGGCCCCCATCAATCAGGCTTTCTTCACCATCTTTGGCTGGAGAGGAAGCTTCCTAATTCTTGGAGGCCTCCTCCTAAACTGCTGTGTGGCTGGATCCCTGATGCGACCAATAGGGCCCAAGCCAGCCACAACAGGGAAAGTTAATGCTAAAGAATCCCTTCAAGAAGCTGGAAAATCTGATGGAAAAAAAGATGCAGGTGATGCGAATACAGATCTTATTGAAGGAAACCCCAAACAGGAAAAGCTGTCGTTCTTCCAAAAAATTAATAAATTCCTGGACTTGTCCCTGTTTGCCCACAGAGGCTTTCTGTTGTACCTCTCTGGAAATGTGGTCATGTTTTTTGGACTCTTCACACCTTTGGTCTTTCTTAGTAATTACGGCAAGAGCCAACATTATTCTAGTGAGAAGTCTGCCTTCCTCCTTTCCATTCTAGCTTTTGTTGACATGGTAGCCCGACCTTCCATGGGACTTGTGGCTAACACAAAGTGGATAAGACCTCGCGTCCAGTATTTCTTTGCTGCTTCTGTTATTGCAAATGGAGTGTGTCATTTGCTAGCACCTTTATCCACCACTTATGTGGGCTTCTGTATCTATGCCGGATTCTTCGGATTTGCCTTCGGGTGGCTCAGTTCCGTCTTATTCGAGACCCTGATGGATCTTGTTGGACCCCAGAGGTTCTCCAGTGCTGTTGGATTGGTAACCATTGTGGAATGCTGTCCTGTCCTCCTGGGGCCACCAATGTTAGGTATAGTATGTCTGCTGCTCTCTGGCTTTGTTATAAAATAGTCTGTACTGTTAAGAATTGGACAGGATAGAAAGCAAGGAATACCAAGCTGTTGGGTGGAAAGAGCACTTGGTGCTCATGTAAAGCTTGGCACAGCATAATTGCTGAAATCCTCCAGAATCAAATTGAACCATCAAGGGTGGGGTCAGATATCACCATAAAACTTAATTTTTGAATCATAAAATTAACGTGCTGATTGTAAAAAAGCAATTTCATCTTAAAAGCACTGGAGATTTCATTTTAGTAGTGGGATTTACCTTGGTAGTAGTGATAGTATAATAGCTATTATGTAAGTTCACAGTGTGCTAATGACTGTCCTAACAGTTGTAGGTATCCTGTTGTATCTCACAAGGCTATGAGATAAAACTGTTTTAGCCTCCCTTCCTCCATTTCATAAGTGAAGAAATAAAGGCTATAAATGTGAGATATGCACTCGGGTGGCTGAGGCAGGAGGATCTCTGTGAGTTTGAGGCCAACCTAGGCTACATAGTGATCTCAAAGATAGCTGAACTACAGAGCAATACCTTGTCTCAAAAAAAAAAGTAAAATAAGCCATGCATGGTGGCACATTTAAAATCTTCGTAGAGCCGGGGATTTAGCTCAGTGGTTCTAGCGCCTACCTTGAAAACACAAGGACCCAAGTTCGATCTCCAGTACCAAAAAAAAAAAAAAAAAAAAAAAAAACCCTCAAGCCAGGGATGTAGCTCAGTGGTTCCGCCACCTGCATCGCAAGTGGAAGGATCCCTGGTACCAAAAAACAAAACAAAACAAAACAAAAATTCAGAGACAAAAACCCTCATAAAATCTCCATAGAATTTCATTTTGGAGAGTGAGTATACATAACAGAAAGAAGGTTGACAGCAGTCTTGATAGTGCTGTCTTCCTGTCCCTGCCCAATGAGTTGTCAAATCCTGTCACATTTGTCCTCCTAAATCTCTAATCTGCCCATTTTTCTCCATAACTACTGTCGCCCTTATCTAAATTCCTGTCTCCTATTTGGGCTGCCCTCAACAGTAGCCTCCAAACTGGTCCATCTATATTAGCCCCGGCTGTTCTTTTGTCTCTTAACACTTCTGCAGTTGCTTCCCATTGCTCTTAGGGTAAAAAGCAGATTCCCTGATGTGACTTTGTAAGGCTTAGCATGGCCTCACTTCTCTCTCCAGACTGGTACCTCCCCACTGGCCCTTCGTTCTCTGCTCCAACAACCTGCCATTCTGCTCTCACATACGATGCCTCAGTGCCTTTGCACTTGCTCTTCTGCCTGCTCCCCCGTCCTAGATGATCCTGCCCACCTGCAAGTCTCAACCCAGTTGACTTTTCAAGGGAAAACACCTTCCTTACCCCACTTACTGTCCCAACCCCCTATTTTCTGCTTTCAGAACCCCCCTTGCAACAGGTCACAGTTTATATATACTAATACCTTGGTTCTTCTCTAAACTTAGTTTTTTCCACAATTCTGGTTGTAAACTGAATTGGATAAGAACCAAATCAAATTTCCCTGGAAAGTGAACAATGAACCCCTAACCATTGAATTTTTACATCTATACAAAGAGGGTAACTATGGAACTGCAGGTTGTAAGAACTACGTACTTAGAACAGTGGCAAGACATTGCTGGTGAGATATCTGACATAGGGCAGGTGTCCACAGGATGCTCTTTGGGAAATGCTGAAAGAAAAAAAGCATTGGCCTTGGTAACTGGAATAGCTCAGTGGCCTTGGATAAGACTCCTGAACCTCTTTTGAGCAATAATTTTTTCCATTATGTAGTAGGAAAATTTGATTGTAAGTGATCCTTGGATCTTTCTTAATTCAAATTTGCCAAGAGTTGATTATTTTCCAGTTGTTAAAAATAGCAGAATGAGGGCTGGGGATTTAGCTCAGAGGTTTGGTGGCCCGCCTTACAAGCGCAAGGACCTGAGTTCAATCCCCGGTACAAAAAAAAAATATATATATATATATAGATAGATAGATAGATAGATAGATATAGATATCTATCTATCTATCTATCTATCTCTATAACAAAAAAAAAATATATATATATATAGATAGATAGATAGATAGATAGATATAGATATCTATCTATCTATCTATCTATCTCTATATATATCAGAATGTACAAGCCCATCCAAAAATCAATGAGAAAACATAGAAGATACAAGTCTTTGTTTGTTTTTTGTTTTTTGAGACAGGGTCTCACTATGTAGTTGAGCCTGACCTGGAACTCACTATGTAGCCCAGGCTGGTCTCAACTCGCAGTGATCCTCCTGCCTCAGCCTCCCTAGTGCTAGTCTTATAGGAATGTGCCACCACCCCTGGCAAGAAGATACAATAATCTTTAGCAGTTTGTATATACACACACATATATGTGTCTGTGTTACAGATATTATATATGTATATATACACACTGATTTGTTGTTTCTGAACTCTGAAGATTAGATTAACATCCTTCTGAGATTTTTAAGCTTTAAGAAAGGGTATCGTTCACTTTTAACCATATAATTTTTTTTTTTTATCTTTTAGGTCGTCTCAATGATATATATGGAAACTACAAATACACATACTGGGCATGTGGTGTAATCCTGATTGTTGCAGGGGTCTATCTCTTCATTGGTATGGGCATCAATTACCGACTGCTGGCTAAAGAAGAAAAAGCAGAGAAGCAGAAAAACGAAGGAAAAGAGGCGGAGACCAGTATAGATTTTGATGAGAAGTCAAAAGAAGTAACTAAAGCTGCAGCATCTCCAGAGCAGAAAGGCACAGCAGACCCCAAAGAAGAAGAGAGTCCGGTCTGAACCCATGGGGCTGAAGGGTGAATGGAACAGGTCGTGACCCAAGTCTTCTGAAAACACTCGACTCGCCTGTAGTCTACCAGTGGTGCTCAACGCAGACTGTGGACATTTACGTGGAAAACATACCTGGTGTTCACTGATGGGATTTCTGTCACTCCTTACCAGTAGTCTGAATTTAAAACACCACACTCTTTGGGGAAGGAGTGGTGGGCAAAAGATGTGGGTAAGAAGCAGGGTTGTTTTGTTTTGTTTTAATATTAGTTTTTAACAGTGTCATGAAGATTATATTCTGTGCCTTAAGTTTTAGTCTTAAGAACTCCTTAGAGAGCCTTAACTTTTAAAACTATTTTGCTGAATTCTCTGTTTTAAGTGTCACATTAAAAGGAAAATAACAACTAACTTATTTGAGACAACTCTAGAATTTAATCTTGCTTCATTGTTACTTGTAAGGTATTGTCAAACATTGTTACTGAAACATTAATGAGTAGAAATTCTGGTTAAAAGTTGAAGGTTTTCTGGTTTCCAGTACCAGGGATTGAATGCAGGGCCTTTGCACTGAGCTATATCCCTAACCCTTTTTAACTTTTTGTTTTGTTTTGAGACTTGATCTTGCTAAGTCACTAAGTAGCCTTGGTTGGGAGTGAACTTGTGAGGGGTTTTATAAAGTGCTAAAATATTTTTCTCGCATCAGTAGCTGCCTGGCGTATGTGCCTAATAGCTGTATATTTAGATTTAAAGCATAAAACTTGGGAAATGTCTTGGCTATTCCAGCCACAGTGTTTGTCAACATTTCTTGGTTACTTTTTCTGCAGTACTTACTGGAAGCCAAGTATTTGAGCATTGTTTTCTCTAATTTACTACTTTTGCTCCCCTGTTCAAAAGATATTTTGAGTGGATCTAGATCATTACCCACTTTGAATCTGTTGGAATTATTTCTCTCACTGCAAAAGCTAGTATTAAAGACTAAGAAATTATATATTCATGACTCCTTAGTAAATGTAACACATCTAGTTAAATATAGACAGCTGAATTCAGCTTATTTTTTTCAGAATCTTAATTATGCTATGAGACTATTGGAATGTTTGTGTCTGTGTGTTTGTGGTTTTGTTTTTTTTTGGGGGGGGGTTGGTGGTGTTGGGCCTCAGGCATGATAAGCAGACCCACCAACCCCCTGGGAATCTTTTTGTTCTTTTTCCTGGAATTTTTCACCTTCGATTTTGATAGTTTCATTTATATTTGCTTACAGCTGTATGTAAGATGTTAAGTATAGATAAAATGTGTTTGTATGTGGTGTTTTGGGGTATTTTTTACATTTTTTTTTTTCAGTGTTTGCAAATTCAAGTGTGCCAAAATTATGTGGCTCTAGGCAAACCAATAAAGATAAGACTGGGAAGAGATGTTGTAAAGTATGCATAGTTTCAGTAATTCCTTTTTATTTTCTGAGAAGGCTTAAAAAGAAAATTATGTTAGAGCTGGGCGTGGTGTGCATGCCTGTAATCCCAGCACTCAGGAGGCTGAGGCAGGAGGATTGCTATTGCTGGGAGTGCAAGGCCAGCCTGGGGTATGTAGTTCAGTGCCATCCTGAAATACAAAGGGAGACTCTGCCTCAAAAAAAAAACAATTTGTACTCAATTTTAAAAAACAAAACAAACATAATAAGGTAGCCTAATTTTGCAATTCTGATGAAGCTAGAGTAGAATACATACGTTCATATAAGGCTTCAAAAAACAAAAAAAAGACTTGGGATTTATTTAGCTCAGTGATTTCGGCGCCTGCCTTGCAATTGCAAGGGCCTGAGTTGGAGCCCCAGAACTCCCCTCCCCCTAAAAAGAAAAAAATTATGTTATACTTAGATTCATTGGGCACTGTCTTATTCTGAATACAAACCTAAAGTTTTATGACCTTTTTTCACCACTGAAATGTAGAAAATTGAGTTCAGTATAAGGACAGGAAGGGTGGACTAGAATGAAACCAAATATTTTTTAATGTCTAAAAAACAAGCAGAAAAATAGACATTTAATGAATTATATTCAATGCATTTAAAATATTGTAATTAATAAGGTGAAAGACTTAAAATTTTGTGTAAGAGACTTTCAAATAAAGCATTCATTTTATTTTTAGAAAAATATTTCTTCCTCCAAATGTTTTTCTTGAGGGAAAATACTGGTGTCTTCATTTTTATTGTTGTGCGTTGCTTGCTAATATTAAATCATCCAGCCTGTGTGCCTTGAGATTTGTGTATGTGGCTTGTTTTATGTTGATTTTCTCCTTTTCTGCTCTTTGCTTTATGACAAGTAGGAGGGAAATTTTGAAACCTCTCTTGAAGGGGAGTTAGCCTTGAGAACAGAATATAAAACTCTTGGATGCGTGTTATGGCAGATGCAGGAGATATCGGAGGAAGCCTGCAGAGCAACTTGGGCCCAGTTTGGACTCTGCCATCTTACACGAACCCAAGTATAACCTCTGTGATCCTCCTGCCTCAGCCTCCTGATGTATTTCGGAAAGGAAAAATTTGTTAAGTCCATACAATATTTTGTATGAATCCACGTTTTATTGTGTTTTCACAATTTCAGGTTCAGTATTGGTTTCAGGTTTGTATGAAAAACTTGTTTCTGAGTTTTACCTTCCCTAACAATGGCACAAAATATAATAAACAATCATTGGTAGGGCCAGGGATTATTTAGCTCAGTGGTTCCAGTGCCTGCTTCACATGTGCATGGTCCTGAGTTCGATCTCTGGTACCAAAAAAATAATAATTGGTGCAGGACTGGCCCCTCCCCACCACATGTCACCTTGGAAGATAAAGAGATATTAACATTAAATTTCCATATTTGCAACATGGCTTGCTTTAATAATCGAGTCAGGCACTTGTCTAGAAGACATGAAGAAAGAGGTTAATGATAGACTTGTGTAACTGAACACTTTCAGCACTTGATGTAAAACAACCCAAGCTTGCCTGGCTTGTTCCCGTGTGAAGCACAGGGCTGCTTCAGAATCTGGAAGCATCTGGGCTGGAAGGAGTTGGGGCAGTGTTTCAAGTGGGTCATTCTAGAAATAAGCTCCGGCATTAGGGTCTTCGATTCACTCACTCGTCTGGACCACAGTGGCAAACCCTCGAAAGTGAGCAGTTGGAACAGTAGCATGTATGCGTGTAGAGTGTCTTTCCCAGAAGCTGCAGAGCGTCAGGTCTTCTGTACGATTTCCACTGACCTGGCCCAGAGGAGACTGATCAGTACCCAAAGGAGTCAGGACTACTAGTTGAATGACAAGGTAAACTGCTTGGATTCAAATTGAGGTTGTACGACCTCAAACAAGTTGCTAGGATCCCTGCATATCAGTTTATTTTTCTGGAGTAATAAAGTTTTAATAATTTCTACCCGCTTATAGGGCTGTTGTCCTGAAGACATGGGACAGCTGTGTTAAGCAAATGCTTGATAAGTGGAAGTACAGCACCCATCAAAAATTAAAGTTTGTGCTCAGGAAAACGTTGGACTCAATTCCCATAACCGATTCTTACTTGGAAAAGGATAGTTGTGTTGTTTTTTTTGTGTGTGTGGGTTTTTAAGATAGGGTCTCACTTGTAGTTCAAGCTGGTCTCAAATGATCATCTGCCTCAGCCTCTGGATTGCTGGAATTACATGTCTGTCACCACACCTAGCTGCAAGGGTAATCAACACCCCTAACAAAGCAAAGTGATTCTTTATTTTTTCCATACTCCTTTTTTATTAGTGTAATGATTACATCTATACCAAAATACTTTTTTTTCCTTGTAGTGCTAGAGGTCAAACCCCAGGCTTGTACACTCCCACTGAGCTACACCCCAGCGTTTTTTTTTTTTTTTTAAGGAAAGATCTATCAGTTTGCCTAGTCCAGGCTTGAATTTTAATGGAGCACATCCCAGGGTATTTGAACTAGAAAACTTCTGGCAAAAGATAGTTGTGCCTAAGAAAATGAAACTACTGATTATTATGTGGGTTTTGTTTTTTGTTTTTTGTTTTTTCTGTTGCACTCAGTGAAAAGTGTGACATGGAACTCAAGATCTCCTGTCAGGATCTTGCTGGGGCTGGACCACAGCTGTGGAGTGTGGAGCTTGGGCCCCTGGACCAGCCTCCAGGGCCTTCTTCCTGTAGCCAGGTGTCCTGGAGACAGCATTCCTGTGGTTTTCCTGCTAAGCATCACTCAGCTGTAAGTGAATGTTTAACTCAGGAGGCCAGAGGTTCAGTGCTTGCCTGCCTTTCAGCCTAGTGTTTGTTCTGGAGGATTATCATACTGAGATCAGTGTTTTAAAAAACACACACACTGATTCACAGACACGTGGGATTGAGGGTATAGCTCATTGGTAGAGCACGTGCTTATCATGTACTAGGTCCTGGGTTCAATTCCTAGTTTTGGGGGAAAAATTGCTTGTCCATACAGCTCTTGCATGTTTAATCACCAACAGATATTTATAGGAGCCTTCCTTTGTCCCAGCATTAATTTTTCAGAACAAAACCATATGCCACAGATACCTTACATTCTCTTACTTCTTTTTCATTTCTTTTATACCCTACATTAACTTCCCCTCCCTCCAAAAAAGAAGTAATAACCAGTAAATTAAAAGAAAAACAGTTTTCAGGGCTGGGGATTTAGCTCAGTGGTTTCACTGCCTGCCTTGCAAGCAGTACCCAATCCCCAGTACCAAAAAAAGAAAAACAGTTTTCAGAACACAAAAGGGCTGGGAGTCTTGCTTAGTGGTAAAGTGCTTTCCCAGGATATACAGATGGATATAAGCAGTGGGGTCATCACTTGTCTAAATGGTGCTTTTTTGAGCAGCTTCCATGTGCCTGGCTCTCTCACTATATAAGAAGGATGTAACTGAACAAAATACAGTTCTTAGCACCTATACCTGCTTGTCTAGCACATAAAAGTGTTGAAATTGGTGTGGGACAGGCAGCCCTTGGAGAACCCTAGCCCAATTGTGGGAGGGTGTAAGAGGATTGAAAAGTATGCCTTCGAGCAAGTTCATTTCCCTAAACCTCTTAGAAACAGGACAGTTTGGGGGTTTTTTGGTTTTTGGGGGGTTTTGTTTGGTTTTTTTGGTACCAGGGATCAGACTCAGGGTCTTGCCACTTGCAAGGCAGGCGCCGGAACCACTGAGCTAAATCCCTGGCACACAACAGTTTTGTTAGGATTAAATGTGAGAGTACACAGTATACTGTTGAGTGTACCATAGCTTTTTAAAAAATATGAGCCAGGAGTGGTGGTACACGCCTATAATTCCAGCACTACAGACACAGAAGGATTAGGAATACCAAGCCCAGCCTGGTGATACAGTGAGTCCCTCAGAATATTATTTCAAAAGGCTGGAGACTTAGCTCAGTGTGAAGGCCCTGGGTTCAGTCCCTAGTACTGAACAAAACAAAACAATTTAAATCTGATGCCACTCTTGTGACCCATACCTGTATCTTAGCTACTCAACTCAGGAGGCACTAGTTCAAGGCCAGCCCCGGCAACATAGGGACTTTATCTCAGTAAAGTTAAAAAGAACCCAAAAGACAATACCAAGTCCGCTTGAACATTTTCCAACGCAGGGTAGCAAGTCAGTTAAGTCATCAACCAGAACAATGAATAAAGCACAGCTGATACTGGCTTAGCTCATCTGTTTACAAAGGCCTTTCAGATACAACCTACCACTCAATCTGATCACGCAAAGTCCTAGAGAGGTGAGCATAATTGAAGGTACTGACGCTGTAACTGGGCCTTCATCCAAGATGTCAAAGTAAGAATGCTAGAGCTCGATGTTGGGCACTTGGATAGAAGATTTGGAAATACACAGGAATGGAAGAGGCCAAATCCTGGATGATCCTGAAGGGTGAATAATGCACCCAAATGAGAAAAATGGCTCTGGTCCTCAACAAATTAATAATCTTAATTCACAGTCCTTTCACCTGGCTTTGAAATTCTTGATGTGATTTTATTTCAATTGTGGATTTCCCTTCCTAATGTGCTTTACTGGTTCCAGAAATAAAATGTTGCATTTCCTGAGCTTATGCTGGCCAGATCCCAAAAGGAAGTGGCTAGAAGCTATTAAGGGGGCCAGAAGGGAAACTGGACAGGGATTAAAAGTTACCTGGTGTGCTGACAATCTGTATGTGCATAATTATTAAGAGAAGCCTTGTGATTGTTACAGTCTTTGTGGTGGTACATCTTTTCCTTCCCCCTCCGTCCTTTTTAATCAAATCCCCTTAAAGCCAAAAGAAAAGAGCCTGAATGTTTTGGGTCAGGCCCTATTTATATGCTTTTTAGAATGGGAGCTGTAGTTTTTTTGGTTTTTTGGTTTGGGGGAGGAATTAAACTGGGACGTTGTGCTAAATCCCCAGCCCAGCTGTAGCAATTTCACGTCATCCTTTTTCTTTTAAATTCCAAATGCCACTTTGTTTCTAAGATGCTGAGAATGAGTAAAACAGGTGTGCAGTAGGGCTTCTCTGAGCTTGGCACCTGAGGTTGGGGTTA